GTCTTGGAAACTCACAGGGACAGCTCTGCCCTGTGCTAAAGGGTCACTAGGAGTTAGCAACGCTCAATGGCAGTAAGTTGTTTCCTTTTGTTTTAAAATCTGATCTCTAAGGAGCCCTGGTGGCGCTGTCCGGTAAACTTGGGCTGCTAACCTCGAGGCCAGGGGATCACACCCACCAGCTGCTCTGCCAGAGAGAGGTGAGGCTGTCTGCGCCTGTAAAAACGGACCGCGCCAGAAACCCTACAGAGGGTGGCTGTGAGTCAGAATCAACATGCTGGCAGCGCTTTTGGTGTCTGAACTCTGTAACCAAAGCCCTACTACCAGGCTGTGGCACCATTTGATAACTGCAGGACAAGCACAGAACAAGAAAACATCTGTCTCTCAAAACCACTGCCATGAAGTCGATCCCAACTCATAGCAACCCTATTGAACAGGGTAGACCTGCCCCTGTGAATTTCCAAGACTGTAACTCTTTACGGAAGTAGGAAGCCCAGTCTTTCTCTCGCAGAGCGGCTGGTGGTTTTGAACTGCTGAATTTGTGGATCACAGCAGAACAAGTAACCACTACACCACCAGGGCTCCATATATGTCTCTAGCATATTAAAATTGCACACTTAACTATGTCGCATTGTGGACCGCAGTTCACTGTCTTGGACATGTCAATTCGACCTTCGATGTGTGTGTTTACTCTGCTAGAGCTGCTTGATGTATGAATGGAGTTTACCGCAAAGAGGGCGAACGTGCATGTTTGGTGTGCCTTTGATGCCTGTATCAATCATTCAGTGGCTAATTCATCTCCTACCATCACCACTAGCTATCCACTCTGGTCTTCTGTTTCCCCACAAACTGCGGTCCAGCAGATCTTTTCCCATGGAGCTGTGGTGTAAGCACACAAACATTGTGTTAGCCATCTCTTCCAGCTTGGCAGCATCTAGAGCCTGTGGGTCGTGACCCCTTTGGGGACCAAACGACCCTTTCACAGGGGTCTCCTAATACATCCTGCATATCAGATATTTACATTACAATTCATAACAGTAGCAAACTTACAGTGACAAAGTAGCAGCGAAAATAACTTTATGGTTGGGGGCTCACCACAACATGAGGAGCTGTATGAAAGGGTCGCGGCCTTAGGAAGGTGGAGAACCACTGCTCTAGACTCAGGTAGGAGAGCATGCTTCCTATAAAACTCACGGATAAAGGAGGGGTAAAGAGTGAAAGGGGAAAGTGGTAAGAGGCCATGTCTGATCATTCTGAGGATGCCATGAAAGTACCAGATGATATTGCCAAAGAGCTGTTTTTAAATCATGGGAAGAGTTTGCCTAGACGTGATTTTAATTTCACACACAGTGAGTAGCAAGTGTTACCATAAAACAATCACTGCCATCGAGTTGATTCATTGCAACAGGTAAGGTTTACACATGCTTGAGAATGAACTATTCCACAAGCTCTCCCCTCCCCAACACCACCCCTTGGGAAATTCTCCTTTTGTTCCCTAGGATCCAAACCACCTGGTTTCTTCCTCCCTCCCCTCTCCACTTGATTCCCAAGACGTCACTTTTTAGCATTCCTTATTAGAGGATCCGGAGAGAAAAGGAACTGAATTCTGCTTGCTTTGCCTTTTGTCCCAAATGGTAAGAATCCTGGCAGGTGAGGGAACTTTGCACCGCAATGCCCTGATTTGACAGCAACAAATGAATCACATACGTGAGAGTCAGGGGGAGAGGCGAGGAGAGCGTGACAAGAAACCAGGTGTAGCCGATGGGGCTGCAGATTTCTGGAGGGAGACTGGGGAAATGAATGCAGTTAGCAAACCTAAATGTTGTAAGATGTAATTCCAAAAATCCTGCTTACTTTGGCTGACTTTTATCACCAGACAGGCAGTTCTTTGTGCCGTGAGAGAGACACACAGGCTGCAGAGTCATCTGAACTGCCCAGAAACCTCTTTAATCTTGGCCATTTTCAAACAGATTTCCATGGTGAACAATTTTCTGAGGAATTCTTATAATGCAGAGTCTGTTCCGAGGATGCT